ATTTGCCCTGTATTGGTTTTGAAACTGTTTTATATCGATTTCGAAACAACTCCATTTCAGTTTTGAAACGATTTTATATCGGCTCTGAAACAATTTTATGTCGACTCTGAAACGGTTTGATGTCGCTTCTATATGGATTCTGAAACGATTTTATACAGACTGTACAACGGAATTGTATCAGTTTTGAAGCAGTTATACATTGGTTCTGTTAACAAACAAATATTTTTCGACTAATAATTGTAAACTAATGACAGGGAACGAATTATAGGAGGGAATGGGAGAAATGGTACTTGTATTTGATGTTAAACAAACAATGACGTTTCGTGGTGGCTGAATCATGTGCTGAGGTTGCTTTCCCTGTAATTACGTTAGCCCTCTAGTTACAATGTTTGAGTATCAATATTTGAATATTCTCCGAAATTAATAAAAAATCGTAATTAATAAACAATCATAAACGTCTAATAACTATGGGGAAAATCAAATTACTAGAATTCTTAAGAAAATAATAATCAAACTAGAAATACAATCTACTGAAATGACCAAATCGAAATGCTAATTTGAATTTAAAAATTAATAATCAATTGAGAAAGAAATTGGAAAATACAAAAATTCTGATATGAACATTAACAAATTTTAAACAATGGCATAAATATAATGCACTATTTAACTGAATAATCCAAAAAGAGAATACACAAGCGGCTAAAGACAGTGGCAGGCAATAATAGCAAATGCACAAAATATTAGTTTCAAAAAAATTAAAATAAATATTATAAATAAATATTAGTTTCAAAAATATTAGTTTCTCTGCATGCAACAAAAGCGAATATTCTGCAAAATTGTTCAAAAGATATCGAGTAACAATTTTATAACTTTGCAATACTGTAAACGAAAGTAAAACGTTATACCTTACACGAAATATTTAATTAATAATTAGATGAACATTTTATAATATTTTTCAATTTGAAAAATAATTGACAAAAATGAATAATTCGATTAATAATCACATCAATTCGAAGCATGCATAATTCATTCCGTACTTAATATAAAATACAGCAGTACTGATCGCTTTAATATTAATTTACGTCGCGTGTTTGCTTGATGACCATAACATTTTTGATATTTCGTATAATCATAAGAAAATTAATTTTAGATACATAGATTTATGTATTAATCAAGCACGTGGATAATAAAATTCTAAAAAATTCCATAAGTGTAATTAGGCAATTTAATAAGTGTAATAAGTGTAATTTGATCTATGACCAAATCAATAACAATTAATAATAATAATAACATATAACAATTAATAACAATAATGATATATTATTATTAACCCTTTGCACTCGAGAGGTGAGCTTCAGTCACCATTTCATAAAATTTGGAAGATCGATATTAATTAATATATCAAATTTAATGTAATGTAACAGTGTGCGAGGTATCGAAATCAAATAATTCTACGATTCTATTATTATACAATTCTTTATTTACTGCTATAAAAAGTATTGTCAGTTTTTTAGTAGAGAATCTTTGAATTTCTACTCTTCTTTAGCCAAAAAATCCTCGAGTGCAAAGGGTTAATATGGTATGTATGACATTATTGTAAATAGTATGTATTATTATTCGCGAATTTTTAGTTCCAAAAAGTGTATAATATTGTTTGAAATTTTGCGAAAGAATTTTCATTAATTAATCGATATTTCCAATTAGCAGGCAGGAGTAGCTCTCTACGCGAGTTTAAATCGGAAGTTGAAAACTGATATAGCTATCGATTCCGGTTCCTGGAACTTCAGAGAACCGTTATTTTTTATATCTGTCATAAAAAACCAAATCGAAGGGAATATCATTTTCAGTTGGAATTTGATACATCAAGAAATGGAACTACCAATATTGATATTAATATTTACAATTTATTTAATAAATATATGGATTCAGTATGAAAGAAGCAAGAAATACAAATTATTATGAATTCTTAAATATATAATAAACTTTTCCCATATATAAATTTTATATTTAATGTTATGTAATATTGTTTTGTTAATTAGTTATAGTATAATAATGATTTGTTACATGCACTATTTGAATTCTTTCTTAATTTTAGTACTTTATCTTTCATATTTAATATTTATTTAATATTTACATAATTTCCTATTTATTTGTCATAATTCGTGAAGCTATTCAATTTAGTAAATAAACTGCTTATGTGTACTGAGGTTATTATTAATTTATGATGTTTAATTAAAAGAATTTTTTCTACCATTCGTGTATTTTCGCTTTTGAAAAATAATAAAAATATTTTTCAGAAGAACCTATTTAACAGGAGCTTAAATATAGCAATTACTATTAAATAATTACTATTAAATAAGTAATTATAATAAATATATCGTTCAAGAAAAATTAAAATTGATGATAATAAATTAATCGAAACATGAATTTACAAAAATAATGAAAAATTAATAAATCATTTACTATTACAGGAGAAAAGTAATTAAGTATTATTAGAGTCAGTAATGATCGTGAATTTTTGGTCGATTTTCGACAGATAATGACTGACTATACATGTAAGGATCACAGCGTCACAGTTCGAGCTCATTTGTCAATTTGACCTCGGATCGAACAGATCAAAAGCTTAATCAAGCTAGATCCGAGATGCGAATGGGGTGGACAGTGGTCATCAGTTTGTATTATAAGTCAGCAGAGAACCATTGTCCACTCCGCACCTCGTATCTCTCGCATAATTTAATAATTCCTTAATTATTCGAAAAATTGTCACTGTAATGCAATCCAACAAATTTTGAAATTTCAATATATTTGAACTTAAATTTGAAATTTACCATTGTTTAAATAAACTGTATTTGCAATTCACGTGCAATCGAAAATGTTTTTAAACTAATGAGAATAAATAAACTAATAATTTTTAATTAACGAAAATAAATAAAGTAATAATTTTTAACTCATGGAAACAAATAAACTAATAATTTTAAATTCATAAAAATAAATAAAGTAACAATTTTTAACTAATGAAAATAATTAAATAAATGACCTTAAGCTAATAAAAGAATTAAATAACAATATTAAAATTAAATGAAAATAATATTTAATAACGAATAATATCAATAAAATTAATAAATTAATGACTAATATTATACAATAGTTATAAATTTGACATTCGATTTTTCTACGTGGGGTAATATAATATCGATATAATGCAGCAATCGAAAATTGAAAACTGTTGTAATATCGATTCCAATTTATCGAAATAGATTCAATGAACATTAGTTAGCATTTCTAACAGTTATAAACAATCAACATCAGTAAAAATATCGATTTCGGTTCCAGTTCCAATACCTTTCGGAATATTGGCTTTACCTATATGAAATTTTGGGAACAAGAATATGGATATCAACAGTTTCGCAAAATCAAGAGTAGAATCGATTTAAAAATCGAAATAGAACCAATATGGGAATATACAGAATCGTCATTGACACTAACATAAAATAGAATCAAAATAGAATTGATATTTCAAAGGCTACTGGAAACATAACTGGAATCAATATGGAAACCTCTTTTGTCATAGTTGAACATCCTTTTGGTCCTTCGTTAATATTTCAGCGAGATCTGTCATGTGGCAAATATTAATAGACATTTTTTGAAATCGTTTAAGCCCCGAATTTACTTTCCTAGCGAATTTAAATCAGAAAAATAAATAAATAAATAATTTTTGTAATATAGGATTTTGATCCTAACGAAAATATAGATTAGGTATATCTAATATAAAGCTTTTTGCTCTCATTTGTCAAGTCGTAGGTAATTTTGAAATACATAAGTTAATTTAAAATATACAAAATTTCACTTTCCTCCATTGAAATTATAGTTACTCCTTATATTTAATGTATCAGATTTTATTTTATTTATAACAATGTAAGTTGTCTTAAAATTTGTAAAATACACAGTAAATAATACAAAACTGAAAAAATTAAATTGAATCCAAAATATAGACTACGTCAATAAAAATATATTGGAATAAAAGAGCAATAAATATATAAATTTCATCTTAAAATTATTTTCTTAATTTTAATCCTACCTTAATTAATTTTAAAAATAATGAATAATTTTGCATTCATTTTTTTCATTATTATTATAATTTTTATTACGATGGACAAATTAAATTAAACGTTTTTATTAAATTTTTATTAAATGATTTTGTTATTAATTTTATTTTTATATCATCTATTGTAAAATTTATGATAATAGAGATTATTTAATACGCCAACTTGGAATGAAAATTGAGGGAAAAGATGAAATCTGGCTGGCACACGCACCTATTTATCTTTTGACGACCCAAAGAATTACACAGTCATAGGGTGTGTCAGACTCGTATAGCCCATACATCACAACGAAAATAATCTTCGTGAAGTATAGGTAGTATATTTTTTTCGTGGTTGACTTTTTTCGCAGAGTCTGCGACTTTCCACCCTTCTTCAATTTACTTCGAAGAAATATCTGACAATCGTCTTTATCGTGAAAAAAGCATTGGTAAAAATTGATGCTCGTAATACATAAAATACCTCCAAAATAAGTGAAATGAATCCGCAATAAAATTTCATAAAATTATATAGAATTTTTAAATACATAAATTCATATTATCTAAAATTTCAATAATTGATATTGTTCAGTTTTGAAATAAAAAAAAAGACTATATTTAATTAGCAACCTATACCAATTAATTAGGTGATAAGAATAATAGACTTCATTAAAATTATCTAATGAGTTCATTAATTTGTGATTTCAAATGAATTGTGCACCGAATACAAAATTACTATATATTCAATATTAACATAATTAATTGTTTATTAATTAAGAAGTTATTATTCAAACTTTTAGCATTTTCCAATCTCCATATAAAAAATCGCATATTTCATGAACAATAAAAAGACAGATTTTCAAATGAAAAAGATTATAAAAAAATAATAACATAAAAAATAATTGAAAAAAGAATTACTTACCTTGGAATTGACAATCAAGCACATTTCCTTCAATTTTTTAATGACGCCACGACGAGTACGTTCCTGATTAATATTCTGTAGTATCCAACTGACGATGTCTAAATTAACAAAACAAGAAGGTATTATTTATAATTAATAATAATCGTTTTTTTATACTTATATCTTCGATAGATATACTCAAAGATAGAATGTACTTCGGATGATTTAACCCTTTGCACTCGAGAGGCAACCCTCAGTCACCATTCAATCGAATTCTAAAGATCGATGTTAATTAATATATAAAATTTAAAATTAATAATAAAAATAATTCTACGTCTTAATTTGCATACGACTTCTTCTTTACCGTTTTAAAAATATCGTCGACTTTATGGCAGAAAGTTTTCGAATTACTATTTTTCTGTAACGTAAAAATCACTGAGTGCAAAGGGTTAACACGAATGAATTATCCAGGGCAACTAATTAAACTCCATTTTACTGGTAATCTTCGATAATGGTGCATGGGGATTTCAATGAACATTTTAAGAGTATGAATATCAGTGCTATTTATATTCAATCAATATTATCTCTGAATTGATTTGTAGGAAGGGACGGATAACTAGATCATCTCAGGGTTACGTGATTCGGTTAGCTGATAAATGAAGACGTTGTTATCAGTAATTTAATATTACCGACGATTCTCTGTGGCATCCACCAGTTTTGGTACCAAGGATCACTCAGGTTAAAGTACTGCCATCCTATTTGGAACAACGAGCTTACCTTGGAATAGTTCCTATATTAGGGACAGGTATATGTACTTATATACTGTTTATATATCTCCTACATAGTAACCAGTACTAATAATTTGAAAAATCATATATACATAATATAAATATTCATATACTATAATAAAATATTCAAATAATTTTTGTTGAATTATTTGTTCATATTTTATTCCAATATATTTTAACATTTTGAGTGACACTTATTGATTCTAAGCTTTGCATTAAAGTAACAAATTGTTCTGTTAATATATTCATACTGATTTATCATCTTGCTCTTTTCTTAGCTTTGATTGCTGTTAATTTTAATTCCATTAAATAATGACTCTCAATTTCTGTATAATAATATGTATACACACACATGTTGCTCAAGCTATAAATGTTAAAATTACATTTTTCTCAGGGTGTTTTATTATTGGGAAATATTATTATCATCTTGTTCACGCATTAAATTTATTTAAATAACAAATTGTATTAATATCCAATTTAATATAATGCAAGAGGTTTTATTCTGAAGAAGGCTGAGGCTATTCCAGGGTGTCCCACTTCATGTTTTACACTCAATTATTTCCTAAACTATAGTTCATTTTAAAAAATGTTTCAAATAAAATCTTGGTCATCGAAGGTCATTCAAGGAAACTCAATGTTGTTCAAAACTTACAATTTCTAAGTGTACAACAAAGATAACTTTAAACAGCATTAAATGACCTTGAATGACTTTTAAGAACCAAAGTATATTATTATATTATAGCTCAATGAATTCCCACTGTAATGCACTATCTACTTATATATAAAAAGGAATATACAGTTCCGTTCAAACAACTATGGTCACCTTGATATCTTGGAAGCACATCCACCAAACAAAAATTTATGACCATTACAAAATGTCTCCCTAAAAACAGAATAAGTTTCATCTAGAAACATTTTTTAAAGTAAATTCTAGTTGAGGAAATAACTGAGTGCGAAATTTCAATTTCTTTGTGTACATTCTCAAAATATCGTTTCCCAAAAACAGAAAAACTTTTGTTCTCATAAAATATATCAACCAATTAGCGGGCAACTGAAACAGGATGCAGATGATCGTTTCCCCTTACAAATTGAAAAATATCCAGGAAAGTTGTGCGTTAAGGAAGACTCGTAAATCATAGGATTTAGCGAAAGGTAGAACGAGCAACGTACCTTGGGAATAGTTGTTAGTCTGATGTTCCATAAAGAGAGTGCGTAATTCGTCCTCTTGGGTTTCGGTCCAGAGCTTGTGCGAAAGTTTCCTGCTATCCGTTTCCGCGTTGTAACCCTCGACGACGTCGCTTGCGTCACGAGAGGTCTTCCAGAACAGCAGCTCCATGTACGCTTTCCGGTTCTTCTGCGCGACTTCGATGAAACGACGGATTATGAAGACCGCGAACTTTTGCAGTTCCTGAAAAGGGTACTCGATTTTCATGGTTCGAGACAGGCACACTTACGGTGGTCATTAAACAACACGCAGAAACGCAGATAAGATCGACGATAAAATCTCCAAAGTTTGATGAAAAATGGCATTCGTGGGATATTATTAGGCAATTATTGGAAATTCATCGAACGACTTGAGAATTTTAATAATAAATCGAAACGGGCTAGGTAGAATAGGAGAGAAATTGTTATTTTTAAATTATGGCAATTTATAGCGAGTTTTAGTAAACTATAATGTCAGGAATTAAATATAATATTAGGAATTTTAGTGAACTGCAATAGTTTTGTAAATACTTATATGTATATAATGTTTGAAAATTCCATTAAAAGAACTTGTATTGCATCAAACGAATTATTATGATATATTTTTGGATATGATTGTAAAAGTATCTTATAAAATTTATATTCTATATGGAAACAAAGATTAGAAAAATATTAGAAATTTTTATTGTAGCAGTTAACACACTTCTGTTTTATCATATAAAAATTAAATATCAATTTTAATTTGGTGATGTAAAATCAGTTCCATTATAGTAATTTATGGCATAGAGAAAGTTGCGTAAATATAGAAAATAATACCACTTAAATTATTATCAACCTTTCATAAATAATGCTTAATAACATTTGATATTTAATACCATAAACGTATAATTTTTATACGTTTCATCTCTAATTCAGATTCAATAATTTTTCAATAATTCGTTATTTAATATATTTATCAAGAAAAATAAAAAGATTCAGGTTCACAATGTCCATTACAATATGCTATAATATAAATAATTATAGTATAGTTATTATATACTTGTACCTCTATGAAATGATACCAGAAAACAAAAAAGAATTACAATTATAAATAATCACCTTATGACCATAATACTTGGATTCAAGGATCCTTTGAAACACACGGAACATTGATGCTTGGAACATCATTCCTGGCATTTTGCAATCCCACGCTATACGATGAAGCATTTTATTAACATAATGATTAACTTCATCCGTGTTTTTATCAAATTGTTGTAGCAAAATCAACATTGCTTTCACAATCTTCACGTTGGCAAATCTAAAACAAAATATAATAAGTCAGGACGAGAAATATTTATGATACATTAAGCAACCACATTTAATTATCGTTTTACCTATGTATGAAATCAGAAAATTTGAAATCAGTTTCTGCGACTGTGGAATATGGTTCTGCTGCTCTTTCTTCTTCTTCATCCTCCTCCTCTGCAACAGTATGGTACATGTATTATTTTACGTTCTTAAAATATCTTTACGCAATTCCGGTAAAGAAGGATGCTGTGCAATATCTTACCCGGCACATCATCAAGGATATTTTCGATATTTTCTTCCTGCTGTGTTCCGCTTTGTGTAACAGGATCCTCTTCCACCACTGAGAACAGAATGAAATTTCTTTAGAATCCTATATTTTTAAAAATATGGATTAATGTTATTAAATATCTAAATGATAATTTAATGAAAATTTGAACAGAATGGTGAATTTAATCATTACTGAATTATTAACATATTATTAACATATTAACAAGGAAACAGAATTTTGTTTCCTTGCGAGGAAAAGGATTAGAATTAATTATAATCTTACTATACTTTTCAATTTGGAAATTAATAATATCGGTAATAATCAGCAGCAAAATATATTGCGAAAGATTAAATTAAATATATATTTAATATAGACAATCATAATAATACTTAATACAATTATAATTTGAATGATAATCTTATGCGCGCCATACGCATTCTCACGTTTAGTCATTGACAAGAAGGGAAAAAGGCGGGCTCATACATTCCTAGGCAATCTACCAGTAGCGCCACTGGTGGCGAGAATTTTCAATAGTGCAATAAGCAAGTAAAATAAAGGTATACATATCGCTGTATTTATATATAATATAAATAAATATATTAACTATTTTAAATAAAAGATTAATTTGCAACAAAAATATATCACATAATTAATACTAATAACTAAAAATTAAAAAAACTCCTCCCACCTAATTCTAATTTTACAGTCTTAATAATTCTAATATAACAGCATAGATGAAGTACCAACACATCAATTGGTAAAAAAAATCCGTTTTGTCGTATTGGAATCACTTTACAATGTGTTAACAATACGTCACATCACGCAACAGTCCAATCAAGGGATACTACATCTGGCGCGCGAATACTTCGATTTATTTCCATGTTGCATCAGTCGCTGGAATGTAAACAGAGTGGTCAATAACCAAGCGGCCAAGGACACCGAGAATATCGTATTACTGTATCTCGCGGGCATCGTCGTCTGGATTCTTCTATAGACAACGCGTATATATATCACCGACAGCTATAGTGCACGTAACGCGCACTGTCGCGAGGGTTCTGATTCGACGAACTTTCATCACGAACGGATCAACAGAACGCAGTGAACTATGGTCGTGTATATATCACGCGATACGGGATCGGGAGCATACCGTAAAAACACGGGAACGACACGTGGAAAATTTCGAAACGCGCGATGCTATTCCTTCGGCGAACGGGGACGAAAATTCCCGCAAACAATTGCAAGCTGCCCTAGAATACAGAGCAGATCGTGGACCGCGACGGAACGCGAGCACTCTATTGAATTCGACCGTACAAGAATCAATGGTAGGTAGCCGCTCTTCGAACGAACCGTGTTCGAGCGAACCGTACGTCGTCGCGCGGGAAGTGGCGATGCCGGGATCGTTCGTTAAAAAATCTATCGTTGAAAAATCGAGGCCACGCAGGATGAACGAAGGGAAAGCAGAGAGGTCGCGGTTGGATTAATTTACGCGAAAAATTCCGGAAAACCGGTCCTCGAAACGAAACAGTCAGAGCTGTTCGCGTATGTATACGTATAGGACGGAATAGTGGTATCGGATTGGGGATCGCGTAGGTTTCATGGGCGGACATGTTTTTTTTTTTGTCTCTGCATCGTGGACGACCCGACCAGCGAATTAAGCGGCTGTGGAAAGACGATTACATTTTCGACGAGTCTGGCGAGGCGAGGGCCCAGGCTGATGGCTAGGGAAAAATTGCACTCGGCGAAACCGACGATTGGATCGGCACAAAGCTTCGTTACGGGGCAAATTTTCTAAGGCTTCGAGTGAGTATCCTTTTTCCTCGCTTTATGGAAGTCAGGTCGGGCTCGGCGACGGGCCGCTCCCGTCCTTCCGGCGTGATTGTTAAAATATCTCGAATTCTGAATAAGGCTTGCGTATCGTTGGGTCTTAGTCTCTTGTGTTTCTCGTTTTCTGCTCGTTTATTTCTTTTTCGTCTCTTATTTATCTATTTTTCTTTTTATTGTGACAGTATATTGCTAGAGTCGAGAGAGAAATTTAATTGTGAAACAGTGTTGGAATATATGCAGTCTTTTGTTAGTTCATATTAAATTAAAATTTTTAATTGATTAGCTTATTAAAAAGTTTATTAAAAATGCCCTATTAGATTCATTAATTTTTGACAAATAATTTAGATAAGAATGATTGAAATATTATTCGAATGTCATACACAAATATTTTAAATTATATTTAATTAGATTATACTAATTAATTTTTTTATTTCTCTTTTTAAATATTAGTAAAATTTAGATAGACGTGAAGGATTTCTAAATGGATTTTAACATTATCAAAACAGATTCTAAATAATATATAGCTTTTAAAATAGAAAAATATTCTTCGAGGTATTGAAATTAGTAATTTTTGTTTCCATATTTTTTTCTTTTTAATTCCTCTTTATTATTTGTAATTATTATTTATAATAATATTAACAATTAATTGCACTATAAGTTTGGTGCCCATTTTACAAGTATCTAAATTAACAAATTATGATCAAATATGTGTTATACTAGAATATACAAATAACTTATTTAAACGTTTAAAGAATTAATTATAAATATGTTATTTAAAAATAATAATATTAAAAGAATATTTAAATAATAATCCTACAAGGAACCCTATTCCAAATCTATGCGAATCACAGAAAAGTATTCATTTCAAACGCTAAAATTATAATATGCATCGTTTTCATGGAAACGGATCTTCATATACGTTCTGATGAATCAAACGACACACGAGATTTCTAACCTACAAGACAGATCCCATTTTAAAAGAGAAATACATTAGAATTAAATGTTCTTCAAAGAAACCGAGCGAGGTATTTTAAATCATCGCCGTGAAGTTCCGTTTTAAACGCGCCATGTTGCTCCGGACCAAAGAAAACTTTTCCTACTGTCCGAAGAATTCAGTTTGCCCAAGTGACGTCAACGACGATGCTATTTCAACCTAAAGTTTTAATTGTTCCTTTCCGCGGTCTTTTGAACTCGCTACACCCGTTCGAGATAAAATAAAACGTGCAAGAGGCCGCGACGTTTTCATCTTAAATTAAAAAATTTTTCCTTCGCCGTACCAAAGGGGTAGTGGGGGGGGGGGGGGATGTGCCTCGTTGAGAAGTAAGTGTGTCGTGGTGATTCGTTGCGAAATTAATCGCTGATACTTCGTCAGCGATTTGAGTTTTGATGCATAACTTTCTCGCCATAATTTAAATACTAATAATACTAAATAACTTTAAGAAAATAAGAAGAAACGAGAAAAAGAAATTCTACTTTTTTGAAACTATTAGGGTGGTTCATCCCTTTAAATAGGATGATGGAAGATAAAATGGAATAATGAAATAATAAAATAATTTTTCTTTGTGCATCATATGGCGTTTACATACATAGGGTGGCCAATTTAACTTGAGCACTTAGATCAATTCACAAGGGTTCAACAAGGGTTAATATGTCAACCGTTTGTGCTTATACAAAAATTGATATATTGATTTAGTTTGTTTATTTTTATTTTTAGGCACATAGCAAAATTTTGGGAAATTTACTCATGGAAACGTGTATATCAAAATGATTTTTTCCTAAGGTGTATTTTTGGCATATAAAATTAACGCAAGATTTAAATTTTGCGCCATTTGTGCGGTAAAGTGTTGCCAACCAAAAGAGAAAAAAATATATAGCATGACTTCTGATAGTTCAAGGTTATTAAAAATTGGGAGCTTCATAAAAGAACAACGCGTCTTTATATCTGAGCAATATTTACAATTTATAATTAAAAACCTGTGTTATCTATCAAAAATACTTCTTTTTGAATTTTAGGACTTATTTACGATGATGGACAAAAATGTCAAAAAGCAGATTGTTTTGAACCAAAAAATATCATTATAAGCAGAAAATCTTTTTCTGGGCAATATATTTGGAAACTTCAAAGTTTCTCCTTAACGAGATTACATATTTATATTATTCTGTTGTAGTAATTAATGTTAAAAGGAATTTAATTATCTATAACATTCTAATTTCCACTTGTTCTTCATATTAAAAAATTTATATGTTTATAAGGAATAGAATATTGATGACCCTGAAATCTTGAAAACTGAAGGTCACGAATATTGTTATATTTTCATAATAACCTCATTTACTTAAGCAATAATTTTTTTAAACGATTTAAATGGCACTTTGCACAAGGGACACTTTTGTTTTTAAAAAAATTCATCCCCACCCATATTGTGTACAACCCTTTTCATTACAACCTCCTCTAATTGTAAATTAATTATGTGACTTCGACATCGAGATAAATATTTCATATTGTTTACGTGCAATGTAAATCGACTGCAAATTTGAAACAAGGAATTTCATTATGTGATTTAAATCAGATACTCCAACTAAATGATTTTGATGGATATTAAGGTTCTTTTGTCCCAGAGCAGCGTGAGTCGAATGGAATATAAATATTAAGATTATGCACATAAAATTTGCGAAAATTAATATGTCATATACACGAAACGTGCATCCTTGATACACATGGTATTAAAATCCATAATATTATTCGAATGCGTGAAAATTAAACACTGGCAGGCTCAATCAATAACGAGATATCGCTTGATGAAAAATTCATATATTTCGATGCCTTCGGTAATTACGTGTCATTAAAATTTTTATGACCGATGTCGCACGTCAGGAAATATTAATATTAATCTGCAATTATTTGCGAATCAAGAATCGATTCTGTATGTTTTGTAGGATTATCTTGGTATATATCTTAATTCGTTATCCAATTGTCGATTTACCCCTTTCACACCTTGATACGAAAATTTTATATTAAACCTGATACATAAATTTACTGATTCAGTAGCATCTCATGGAGATCATAATGTACTTGTCTATTAAATATAAAAGTAGCATCTAGTCATGACAAAAGAAAATTTTTTCCTAAGGTTATCTTGTAGGTCATTTTAAGAACACTATGAATTCTTTACATATTAACATTTACTTCTTATAATATGATATTGTAGTCGTACCAGAACAAGTTCAACGACCTATAACACTATGACCTTTAAATGACCTTGAACAGAATTAATATCATCTTATATGCTCATATACATATGTCATTTAAAGAATAGGTATATCAATATATTAGCTAAATATATTCATATATTAATAAACAATAATGAAATGAGTGAAATAATAAGTATAGGTATAGATGTATGTAGACAATATTTGTTAAAGTCAAGGTCATTAAAATTGCCTTTCTTAAAGTTAATATTTAGCAGAAAAGAATTGCTCATTTGCCAAATTAATTAACTATACAAAATAAAACTAGAAATTCATTTTATGTACAAAACGTTCTATCTATCATCTATCAAGCATTTTGGCTCCAAAAAATAAACAACTTATATGAAAAATACGAAATTTACTCTGTAAATTGCCCACATAATAATAATAATCGGATTAATATACGTTCATTATATATAATTTACTCTAAACAAAAAGTACATTACGATCTTGTTTCTCAGCCCTTTTCGATTCCAAAAATTCGCATTCCCCAACACGTGAAAACTCAACAACCCTGGAACAACGATAACGCAAAATATCCGGCATACAAAGAAGACTAATCTCGCACTTGATGGCGATAGGAAACAAAAACGGCGGGAAAACGGGCGGATTTAAAAACAGACGTATCTCGTTTCAACGCCGATGCGTTATTCATGCCCAACAATCGGATAAAGCGTTAATCTCGTTTGTTTGGCTACTTGCGCGTGAAGAATTCAATAATATCCTCGGGTCTCTGTCGCGTTTCAGCTCGCAGAGTGCCCCGGGTCACGAATTAACGATGCAAAGCGACACGCTGGAAAATATCTTCGAATAGAAGAAGCGTGACTCAATTATGGAGCGTGAAACGCCATTTCTATTACCCGGGCTCGCCTGTCCGGATTAGCCGCGTCCGTCAGCCCGCCATTTTGTCGAGGAGCCGCCATTTGCATAAACGGCGCACCGCGAAGTCGACCCAACAGTCAATATCATGAAGCATTCATCGCTACGATTCGTAGTTACCTGCCGGGGCCATCCAGCAGCCACGAAATCGGATTAAAGCTTCATCGCGAGACAACTGTTGAGAGATTATTAAATTTTCATAGAGAATTTTCAGTTTCGAATTTTGGTCACCTTTATTCGCAAGATTTATCGTAGATGACAAAGTGTCTGGTGTTGGGACAGGCTGTGAAGGATTAAGGTTAATCGAGTATCATTTTCAGCTAGAGTTGTGGGGGTTGTAGTATGTTTGGATGATTCTTGCGGAAGACTTACTATGCGTTCGCGAAAAGAAGACACAGCGTGTTTACATCCTCACTGAATGTTGAAGTCCACTGACACTTCTGTGATCACAGGCAATGACCGCCATTGGACAAAGTTCATCAGAGGGCTATAGTGATATCGAGTGAAATAGAATATGACAGCTTTGACATAGTATTTCAATCCAAACGTTAGCTATTATAGAGATTGAACGGTGGTAATGTTTATTGGTAAAAATAATATGAAAACTAATATTATTAATTCATTAATAACATTATTAGTATCCATCCTATTTAGTATCAATAATATAATTAATTAATATCATTAATCTATTAATCTGTTGATAATACTGTTATAGAGACTGGACGGTGGTAATGTTTATCGGTAACAATAATATAAAAATGTGAGAGTGACAATAAAGCTACGAACTATTTCTTGACTTACTGTCAATTCGTAGATTTTAACATAACTACGTTATAAATTCAAGTGACAGCCAATAATTTATTAATGTTTTCCCTTTTGTTATAAATTTACGTTCTGAACAATTCCTTATTAATAACAAATTTAATAATTCATATATATTTTCCAAAGTAAAATTGCATTCACATCTCCATGGGATAAATTTCTATGTCACGTATACATATATTTCAAAATATTTTTATTTTTTCGACATTTTTGACTAAAATTGTTAGTGATGGATGAAATATCAATAACAATAAAAACAATTCTCTATTTAATTACAGAAAAATGATCAAACACGAATATTAAGTACAAATCTAATTAATTTCTCACAATCACATGCTCACATCTATTTTCATTATTACAACTCAATTACAACTGACCTATGGCCAATCTCTCTGGTTTGTTCTTTCTACTTTCATACATTACATGAACACACAATTCACACACACTTCAATCATTATACGTATAGTCATTTATCACGATAGCCTGAATCCATTAGATATTGGCATCCCATGCATACTTTATTATATCAACACATATATATTCAAAATTTATGTTAACTATTACCACAACTATAACGCTCAACGTAGTATTACAATATTACAATTTCGTTCGACTTCGACTCTTAGCTTTACGACTCATCTCAATATTAACTGTCCTCTAATTGGTCCTGGCTTACTTCATATTTCTTTCCCCATGCACACGCTTTCCGATGTTTCCCTTAATATGACCAAATATGGTTAGGTTAGGTTAGGTTAGGTATGTTAAGGGCCTGACGCATCACCCAAGGTTTACCCGGCTGACCTGGGCTTGCACCTTCGACCCTCGTTCTCTCGGTAACCTTCATAAAGCTACGTGTACGTGGTAGGAAATGTGCGATGCTACACTATTAAGAAACAGAAGACTAATATTACGATTGGAAAACTATGAAGATGTTGCCATCATCCTATCTCGCTCAGTCTCATTGATCTTTATCACCATCTTTGGCCAATAACGATTACTGTCTGTGATCATAGGAGTGTCAGCAGACTTCGACAGAAGTGGAAATGTAAATATGCATAGTACCTTACTGAAGATACCAAGTTGAACTTGAAACACAGTATCTTCATTAAATAAAACTTGGACTTCACGAAATTTAACAGTGAAGTTTGGGTGAGTCAGATCAGAGGACCCGTCATCTTTACACAGGAATCATTCGATTGATGGCCCTATACAGGGTCCTAGTTAGCGCTGTGACCTGGTGGTCAGCAAACGAAGCTCTAATAAATCCCACAGCATAGTGAGGAGGTTGGTCATCAGGATCGTGCAGGGATACTAATTATCCTTATACCATTAGGATCATCTAGAGATGGTCTTCCATGAAGCAGTGACAGTCCTGATGGGACCCCTACTATTCGACTTATTGGCGCAGGGGGATGCTCGTGAGCTCTATGAGCTCCTCAGTCGGCATGGCAGGACTTCCTCTGAGGTAATCCTCAAAGTGAAACACCAAGTTCGACAGTCCATACTAACATCTTGGAGCATCCGGTTGCACATTGGGTCATCAGGACTGTGCTCTCAATTTTGGAGAAATGGGTGCACAGTGGCGGAAGGCTCACCTATCGCTCCACGCAGGTACTCACCAGGCACGGTTACTTTGATGAGTACCTGCACACGATAGGGTGCGTCGTGATCGCGGAATGTCTGTGTCGGTGTGAGACCTTTTCCCAGGAGAACGTGATCCGGTTGATCCGTGAACCTGGTTGTGTTCGCTTCGTATTCCCGGTGCTCTCCCAGCGCGGCGAGGATGGCCACCGTGGGGGTTTTAGTTGGTAAGACTCCCACATAACACCTCGTTAATCTCACATAACCTCACCTAGAGACCGGGGTATCTTTGCAAGACTTCTCTCACGTAAAGAACGGGCAGACGAAGATGTGTATGATGAATTTGAAGAATGGTAATTAATGTAGATCTATGAGTCCAATAAATTGGATAGAAAATGGATCCTTGATTGAATATTTAACGTAGAAATTTGTATATAATAATTGACATGGCTTGAATAATTTTTTGAGAACGAAGAAATGTAATTTTGGATATAGAAAATTTTTTAAATCTAATACAGGAATTTATGTATAGTGTAATAATTACATAGAAATTATAATACAAAAATTCTTATATAATGAGAGTGATTATAATAAATTAAACACGAATTAAACAAAAGTAAAACACGTTTGTGTGTATATCAAACGTAATGTATTTATTTTATGACACGATGAATTGAATATCGCGTAGGATTTATTGAAAATAACTGGAATGAAGTATATTTAAAGGGGATTTATTAATCGAGGTAGCCAAGCGAATATCGAAAACGATAATATTTAACAAAAAATCTGCTGTTCCATAAATAATGTCAAGTGAAGAGATTTTGAAGATGTAGAAGGCAAAACTTGCACAATTTTATTTATAAAAAATATATGCACAGAAACCATGATACATACACAAAATTTAAAAATTCCGCATAATTTCACATACTGTGAAAAAAGCTAGGAAAAGTAAAATAAGAGAAAAGGATAAGAAATAAAAAAATTATTCAAATACAAAATAATAAAAGTAATAAAATTATTTAAATAACGAAATTGACAACATTGCTTAAGTATAGAGAAATAAATATAATATAAAATGATTTAAGTACGAAGTAATAAAAATAATAAAATTCCTTATTTGCAAAATAATAAAAGTAACAAAATTATTTAAATACAAAATAACGAATCTGACAGCATTCCTGAAGTATAGAGAGATACATATAATATAAAATTATTTAAGTACGAAGTAATAAAAGAAATAATATTTCTTATTTGCAAAATAATAAAAGTAATAAAATTATTTATTTGCAAAATAATAAAAGTAACAAAATTACTTATTTGCAAAATAATAAAAGTAACAAAATTACTTATTTGCAAAATAATAAAAGTAATAAAATTATTTAAATACAAAACAACGAAACTGACAGCATTGCTTAAGTCTAGAGAAATAAATATAATATAAAATTATTTAAGTATGAAGTAATAAAAGTAAAAAAATTCTTTATTTGCAAAATAATAAAATTTTTCCAATCTTTTCTAAAATCCAGAATTATCAAAAATTTTTAATTTTATTTATCGAGTCAAATTTTTGTTCAATTATCAAATCCACTTTATCGTCACAGTAATCAACTTAATTACTTAATTAAATTCCAGGATCCTGTGTCTCGAAGTAAATATATTTCTGTGTCCATGTGCAGTGTACGTTAATTAAAATTTATCGGTGTACATCCAGCGGATTCGTCTCGGATTCTGTTAAGACTAACTGATCTAATCCTGAAGTATAACCTTGTTAGGTGCAAGAGAGTTATAATGTAATTCATAGATACCGGAATTGTAAGGGTCTCGAACTCCACCTAGGGATTGCATATCTATACAAGAGTTACGAAACTGAACACGTTCGACGATGTCCCATCAAAGCTCTTTGAGGTATTAGAAACAATGTATATATAATACGTTGTACTGACTAGTTTCATCCATTTCTCGCTTCGGGTGCCATTTTTACACGGTATATCACGCGTATATTGTTTATCACGGATTACATGATTTTTAAGGACATTTATTATTTATTCTTCCTTTTTATTAATTTTTTTATGGAAATTATTTTTATTTTGCTGAATAAAATATAGTAAAAAATATCGTAACTGGAATATAGAATATTTACTTTGACACGATGAACCATTTTTTATCACTTGTAACAATGTAACTGAAAAAGGTTGTTATCAAAAATTCGTTCGTATCGAGCGCATAAAAAATAGCTGAAATAAAAATTTCGAAAAGAGTTTGTTTTCGTTAGCTTTCAGGAGTTATATTAAGCTTCCTAAATAGAACCATATATTTTTATTTTTTCATTGCAATGTGCAATGACGCATATACTGTGATATATTAGAAATAATTATTACATAAATACAAATCAATTATTAAATTATTAAATAATATTCAATAAATAAATATACTAATTATTATTATGATAGATAATTTTTAAATATCTTTTTAATATAGATTACACATATGAAAACATAAAAGACAATTTATTAGTAATTGTAATTAATAAATACTCTATGGATATCTACAGTCCATTGTATGCTAATTTCTAAATTATCAATTATTGAAGGGATAGACTATTTTGATATGTTAAAAATGCACTTTATTTTTGGGAATTTTGGAAATGGAATAATAATAGATAGTGCAATCACATTATAGATTCGTCCCTAGAGCCTAAGAAAAACTAGTATAGTATAATGATATATTTTCATAACATGAGAATATAGTATAGTACGAAGATACAAGATATAATATATACAGTAGGTCATGGCAAAATTATTTCTATCGAAGTAATAGATAATCACCTCTCAAGATAATTTATAATCTCATATTTTACGTCCACTATACAGCTATAGCTATATTACATCTCCCAAGTTTCAAAAATAATCGTTTCACGAAAATCAGCTTGATTTTCTTGAAATAGTAATTTATATCATCACATAATTTAACTTAATTTATATATTACATAATTTATAATCTCATATTTTACGTCCACTATACAGCTATAGCTATATTACATCTCCCAAGTTTCAAAAATAATCGTTTCACGAAAATCAGCTTGATTTTCTTGAAATAGTAATTTATATCATCACATAATTTAACTTAATTTATATATTACATAATTTATAATCTCATACTTTAAGTCCACTATACAGCTATAGCTATATTACATCTCCCAAGTTTCAAAAATAATCGTTTCACGAAAAGCAGCTTGATTTTCTTGAAATAGTAATTTATATCATTACATAATTTAATTTAATTTACATATTACATAATTTATAATCTCATATTTTACGTCCACTATACAGCTATAGCTATATTACATCTCCCAATCTTCAAAAATAATCGTTTCACGAAAAGCAGCTTGATTTTCTTGAAATAGTAATTTATATCATTACATAATTTAATTTAATTTACATATTACATAATTTAATTTAATTTACATATTACATAATTTATAATCTCATATTTTACGTCCACTATACAGCTATAGCTATATTACATCTCCCAATTTTCAAAAATAATCGTTTCACGAAAAGCAGCTTGATTTTCTTGGAATTGCTATATTTTATGATCGAAAGGTGACTACTTATGAATCACTGTTTCACGATAATACAGTCTGTTCGTAGAAACTTTATGGTAGAGAGTAAGGAACACCGTAGTAGAACGTAGCAGCATCACGTTACCAAAGCCTGGCTCATCTGATAGATCAACCACTTATGTGCATGTACGTAGGGTCCTCTCGGATCAACGATTACCAACGGTGCATGGCCAAAGTCTCCCGATAACTCAGGTTATGTCTCGTTACAGGCTTATCGATCGACTCTACGATTCTATGGCCACGTATAATACTGCACCTGCGTATACACAGGTGTGCATGTGTATGCGCATACAGGTGTCCCGGCAATACAAAGGCGATTTACACGCGATTATGGTGTTGCTCTTAACACGTCCATGACGACACAGTTTCGATGTACCATTGTTTCGAATACCGAGTTCTTGGACCATTTGATTCGCCAGACCTTTGTTATGGAGATTATAAACCGTATGTCAGTATAGTATTGCATGTGAACGGATTGTAGGTAATATCGTAATTAACTGTATATTATGTTGAATTAGCTTTAATTTAATTTATACGCAGGCATTTGGAGTTATTTTATTGATTATAATGTGGTATAATATACTACATTTATAATACACTGTAATATATTACAGTGCATTATACTATATTCAATTATGTTTTTCGCTGTAATAAGTGATAATGTAGTATAGTATGATATAGTATACTACAGTGTTCCCTATTACATTATACTACACCATAATATTGTAGGATAATTATTTAATTTCGATACCTAGCACTACGTTACATTATCATAAATTTGACATATTAATTAATATCGATCTTTGAAATTTGATCAAATGATGACTGAAGGGCGTCTCTCGAGTGCAAAGGGTTAAAATATGGTAGGATACCAAAAGAAATCGCGAATCGGCTATTGCCAACAAAAACAAATTGTAAACCGATCGATATCTTCTAGAAGCAAATCGAAAAGTTATTCTATATAACAAAATTAAGTTGCGCGACTCCTCTACGG